TATATATATATATATAAATATAAATACATATATATATAAATATACATATATATACATATATATATATATGTGTGTGTGTGTGTGTGTGTGTGTGTTGGAATTGGAAGTCAGTAAAACCTAAATTTTCGAAAATGTATCGTTGGCTTGTGGGGGAGGGGGCGCAGAGTGAGGAGTGTGCGTGGGCGCTGTTGCAGGCAGAAGCGGGAGCTGACGGCGCAGCAGGCCAAGGCGTCGGTGGAGGCGATGCGCGCGCTCGCACAGGAGGAGGAGGAGATGCCGGCCGCGTGCGGCAGCGGCGCGGCTCTCAACGGTCAGTCTGCAACATTAGCTACACAGCTAGGTCGAATTCAGTCACTGCCTGCTGGAGATTTTAGAGCCATCTAGCTATAGCAGCACCCAAAAACCAAACTCAACAACTCATATCCACAATTAATGGATAATTAAATGTTCTATTCATGAATTTGGGGCTCTTTGAAGTTTCCAAAATCATGAGCGCTGCTAGCTTTAATCGAAAGCTTAGAAAATACAACTTCCCATTATTTCTAGATAACGGAAATGCATAGAAAATTAAAGGCTCTAGAAAAAATTCCAGTCTATATTTCTCAAGTATCAGGGCTCTACAATGTGAAATATTTAACACACGTTCTTATAGACTAATAAACACGAAAGCTCAAAAACATCAAAACAATATGAAACCCTCCTCAAAACTAAAGGCTAACTTTTGTCTTTAGGAAATAATGTTCCATCCCATATTTACCAAACCTTAGGGCTGTAAAAAGAGAAATGTTCCTACAGCTCATTCCCTCAGTCTTCAAAATTTCCCAATAAGTCTTCTTTTCATGAAATCATTTCCTAATCAAAATTTATATAACCGCTCTATGCACGTGTAACTTTTGAAATTATGACTCTTACTATTTGCATAACATTAAAATTCTGCAACTTATCTAAATTAATTTAATTCAACTATCACTATTAAAGAAATAACTACGCGTTAGCTGGTGCCCATTCTATCGCGATACTTACCATTCACACTTTCTAACGTTCTTCTTTCAAATTGCCATGTGACGTTAGTTTTTTAAACAAGTCCATTTCTGGTCCAAATCCGCAATTAATCACATAATTTCACGAAAACCGAATTTCCATCCATGTTTGAAATCAATCTCTACAGCCGTCTATGCTGAAGTCTTAAGTCGTTCTGTCTTCAAAGACACCAAACCTTTGAAACGAAACCTATTTCTTTTGTTTATAATATTTTATAACTATTTTGTCATTTGACATATTAGCATCACCGTCATCTTTCCCTTTTCTTGTACCATACAAGGTAGCAAAACGTAACATAATTAGCTGTTGTATCCTTTCTGGAAATATTACTTCTGATGAACTATTTTATTTTTTTGAGTAATATCGTTTGTCCCTTATACTGACTGTTTAAAACCATATATTCTGATGCTTACGTTTCGGAATCGTATGTCCTTCTGAGCCTCGCTCTTATGCTAGTCACAAAAAAGGAGCATACTAGGTTTTATTTTCACTAATGCAGAACATGGCTGCCATAATGTCGTCATAATCATCATTAGGGATTAGCCATTCGGCATATTCCGTCTCCTTTACTACCATTATGTCTGTTCATAAATAAAATGTTCTGTTCTAGTTTCCATTGCGAATTTAATGTCAATAAATTGGTGTTACGTATATATTCGTTTTACAAAACAATGCTTCAGAAATGGTTTATCTCACTATGCAGCCCCCACGACAACAGTGGTATTAACATACATTGGTGACATTGCCGCCTTTAAGTTCGGCAAAACTTTTTCATTGCTTTGCAGGCACGAGCGTGGAGGCCGGGGGCGCGGGCGCGGGCACAGGCGCGGGCGTCGGGGCGTTCGGGCGCCACAGCCGCACGGACCGCAAGCGGCGCATGCGAGAGCGCATGCGCAGCAACACCAACCTGTTCCTGCGCGAGATGCGCATGCTGATGGCGCGCCAGGACAAGACCATGGAGCGGCTGACGGCGCAGCACGCGCAGGCGCGCGACGCGCTCTTCAAGGAGATGCAGCGGGTGAGCCCC